TCTCACCACTTGCTGAATCCAGTTATTAATTCCAATAGTTTTTTGTGTGTAGTCATTAGGGTTTGCTATATATAATATCATGTCTTCAAATAGTGACAGATTTATTTCTTCCTTACCAATTTCGATTTCTTTTATCTCTTTATCTTGCCTGATTGCACCTCCAGTATATGTTGAATAAAATTGGTGGGACTGGACATCCTTGTCTTATTCCTGATCTTGGAGGAAAAGCTTTCAGCTTTTCACCATTGAGTATGATGTTACCTATGGATCTGTTATTTACAGCTGTTACTGTGTTGATGTATGTGCCCTTTATACCCATTCTGTTGAGAATTTTTATCATAAATGGATGTGGAATTTTGTCAAATGCTTTTGCAATACCTATATAGATAATCATATTGTTTTTATCCTTTTTTTGGTTAATGTGTTGTATCACATTGGTTGATACATGAATGTTGAGCCATCCTTGCATTCCTGGAATAAATCCCACTTGGTTGTGATGGTTTATCCTTTTGATGAATTTCAGCTTGCTAATATTTTGTTGAAGACTTTTTCACCTATGTTCATCAGGGATATTGGCCTATAATTTTCCTTTTTTATAGTGTCTTTGTCTGGTTTTGGTATTAGAGTGATGCTGGCTTTATAGAATGAGTTTGAAAATATTCCCTCCTCTTCTACATTTCAAACTGCTTAAAGAAGGATGGCATTAGTTCTTTAGTTGTTTGGTAGAATTCACCTGTGAAGCAATCTGGTCCTAGCTTTTGTTTTTGGGGAGTTTTTTGATTACCAGTTCAATTTTGTTACTGTTAGTTGGTCTTTTCATATTTTCTGTTTCTTTCTGGGTTAGCCTGGAAAGTTGTGCTTTTCTAGAAATTTGTCCATACTGTTAGGTTGTCCAATTTATTGACATATAATGTTTTTTGTAAAATTCTCTAATAATTCTATGTCATGGTGTCAGTTGTAACTATTCCTTTTTTTTCAACTTCTCATTTTTGTTGATTTGTGTCTTCTCTCTTTTTTTTCCCTGATAAGTCTGTCTGGGGGTTTATCTATTTTGCTTATCCTCTCAAAGAACCAACTCTGTTAACTCTTGGTTTTCATTGTTTTTTTATATTGTTTTATTCTTCCCTATTCTATTTCTTTCTTCTCTTTATTTTATTTTGTCTTTCCTTCTCCTAATTTTGGGTTTCATTTGTTCTTTTTTGAGTCATTTCAGTCATACAATTAAATTTTATTTGGGGTTGTTTTTGTTTCTTGAGGTAGGCCTATATTGCTATGTTCTTCCCCTTTAGAGCCCCTTTGCAGCATTCCACATCTTTTAAACTATTGTATTTATGTTTTCATTTGTCTCCGTGTATTACTCAATTTCTTCTTTAATCTGTTCACTGATCAATTGATTATTTAGAAGCATGTGTTTAGCCTCCATACTTTCCTGGGGTTTTTTATTTCCTTCATGTGGCTTATCTTTAGTTTCATACAATCGTGATAAGAAAAGATGCTTGATATAATTTCAGTCTTCCTGAATTTATTGAGGCTCTTTTTGTGTCCTAATATGTGACTTCTACTGGAGAACATTACATGTGCACTTGAGAAAAATGTGTATCCTATTGCTTCTGGCTGGAATGCTCTGTATATATCTGTTAGTTCCATGTGATCTAATGTGCTGTTCAGTGCTTCTATTTCCTAATTTATTTTCTGTCTGGTTGATCTGTCCACTGATGTAAGTGCTGTGTTAAAGTCTATTAATATGATTGAGTTACAATCAGATTAGTTCTGTTAGTTTTTGTTTTACATATTTAGGTGCTCCTATGTTGGATGCATAGATATTTATAATTGTTATATCCTTTTGTTGGACCAATGTCTTTATAATTATGCAATGTTCATCCTTTTGTTTGTATGAAGTTTATTTTGTGTGATACAAGTAATGCTACTCCTGCATTTTTCTTCCTATTATTTGCATGAAATATCTTTTTCCATTCCTTCAATTTCAGTCATTTATGTCTTTAGGTCTGAAATGAGTCTCTTATAGCAGCATAGAGGTGGGAGTTGTTTCTGTATCCATTCAGTTACCCTATGTGTTTTGATTGGTGCATTCAGTTCACTTATATTTAAGGTAATTATTGATAGGTATGTACTTATTGCCAATTTATTAATTGTTTTCTGGTTATTTTTGTGATTCCCTTATTCCTCTCTTATACTCTTCATTGATATTTAGTGGTTTTATTTAGTGCTGTGATTGGATTTTTTAACAAAAATTTTTTTGCACCTTTTATAGGCTTTAGATATATGATTACCATAAGGTTCATAGTTTCCTAAATATATAACAGTATATTTAGTTACTCTATTTTGAACACAGTGTAAATGTGCTTCTTCTTCCTCCAAACTTAATGTATTAATTGTTGTAATCTATATTTTTTGTGTATACCTTGACTGATTTTGTATATAGTTTATTTTACTACTTTTTTTAACTTCATACTTGCTTAGTAAGTAATTGGCCTATTACCTTTACTGTGGATTTATTATCACTGATGAAAAATATTTAAGCTTAAGAACACTTCAATCTACAGAAGTCCCTTTAGCATATCCTGTAAGACCAGCATAGTGATAGCATATTCTTTTAATTTTCATTTATCTGGGAAACTTTTAGTATCTCCTTCAATTTTGAATAACCTTTCTGGTAGATGATTCTTGGTTAAGGCCCTTTTGTTTCAACATGTTAAATATTTTGTGGCACTCCCTTCTGGCCTCTGAAGTTCTTCCAAGAAATCTGCTGATAGCCTTATGGGGTTGCCCTTATAAGTAATTTTTTGCTTCTCTCTGGCTGCTTTCAATATACTCTTTATCCTTAATATTTGTCTTTTTAATTATTATATGTCTTGGTGTTGTCTTTCTGGGGGGGGTTGTTTTGTTAGGGACTCCCAGGGCTTTCAGGACCTGGATATCTATTTCCTTCCCCAGATTGGGGAAGTTTTCAGCAATTATGTCTTCAAACAGACTTTATACTCCTTTGGATCTCTCTTCTCCTAATGGGACCCCTATTATGTGAATATTGTTTAATTTGGAATTGTCACACTGCTCTCTTAATATATTCTTGGTTCTAGAGATTTGTTTTTCCCTCTGTTCCTCAACTTAATTGTTTTCCTGTTCTCTAATTTCCACCTAATCAATCCTCTACTTCCAGCAGTCTAGCATTCATTCCCTCCATTGTATTTTTTCATTTCAGTAACTGCATTCTTCAGCTCTCAGTGGTTCATTTTCAAATCTTCTTTCTTTGTCGAAATTCTTCCTGAACCAATCAGTGAGAATATTTATAACTTATTTTGAAATCCTTATCAAGAAAATTGGTGATGATCTCCATTTTATTTATCCCTCTTTATGGTGTCTTATCTGTTCTTTTGTTTGGAAAATATTCTTCTGCTTCCTCATTTTGTATGGGTTTCTGTGTTTCTTCCTTTATTATATAGATCTGCTATGCCACCTGGTTTAGAGAGTAATAACTTTATGAAGAAGGCATTCTGTGATGCATAGAAGCTCAAGAGTCTTTGCTTACCTGTGCCTGGCTCTCCTTTGCAGTGTAGTCACAATTGCTGTTGGTGGCCTGTGGGCAGGACCACCTTTCTGCCTATCTGTTGGAAGTGGGTGATGTCTGTCAGCAGACACCCTTTGTGAACAGTGCTTCTGCTGGGATCATTGTGGGAGGGGTAAGTGTGCAGGGGAATGTGGTGTGGGGCTAGGCCACCCACAGGGAGGGAGCATTCAGAGCTGGCTGTGCTGAGAGAAGCCTGGGAAAGCTGGGAATGCCTACCTCCACCTGCTAGGAATCACATTCTCCATATGCCTGCCAGGTAGTAAAGTCTGACCACTACTGCACAGGTTGGTCCAGGCAGGTGGATGCGCAGGTGCACAGAGGAGCATCTTGGGGCTGAGATGCCAGCAAAGGAGATGGAGAATTTGGGCTGGTTCCTCTGAGCACTGAACTAATTATGCTAAGGGAGGGCTGGAAAAGCATGGTCCACCTGCCCTTTCTCCTCTAGAGAGAGCTTCATCCAACACCTGCCCCTCTGGTACCTTTCCACTGCTGGTAAATCTTTAAAACTGCCTCCTATGTTTTGAGTCTCATCAGGACCAATGGATCATGCCTGTCCTCCATAAGCAACAAGAGTCTCAGCCTTCCAGTGTGTTCCAACTCTCCCTGGTGTACAGCCCCAATAATCACCGAAATCCAGTGCAATGTCGCTCATATTCCCAGAGGATATCTCCAGGGCTACATGTGATATTTCCTGAGTGCTTATCCCTTCCCCACTCTGTTCCTTTCCCTCCCATTTATGGGCTAAGATGGATAAAGGATTTGGTTCCCCCCGAATCATGGCTTTGCCGCTTTACTCTTCCTTGTGTGTTCTATTCTTAACCAGGTGTAGATGGTCTGTTCTGCAGTCTTCCAGTCTTTTTCAGGGTTAGTTGTTTTTGCTCTAGTTGCTTCCTTGGTATTTATGTGGCAGGAGGTATCCACCTTGCCTTCCTACTCTGCTATCTTTTACACAGGAAGCCCTAAGTAGATTATTATTAATTGTCAGTGTTTTCCTTTCAGCATTTTGAATATGTTATGCACTCTCTTGTGGCCAGCAAAGTTTCTGCTGAAAAATCTGCTGATAATCTTATTGGGTTTCTATTTTGCATAACAAGTTGCTTTTCTATTGTCATTTTTTTTCAGCCATCACTTTATTGCAAGATAGTAAATCAGTTACAAATTTAAACTGTAATTTGGTCATCTTCAGGCACCAAATTTTAAGAGCAAAATGCTTATTCAAAAGTGATGACGGAACAACTCAAAATGCAGAGCAAGGATGAGAAACATTTCACTGGTCATTAGATTGTTTTAATTCTTTCATTATATGAAACTAAAGCTTTCCATTTTTAGGAAAGATTAACTATAACTTCAGTAGACAGCAATACAGAAAGATCCTGTCACCTAGACTGGTTTCCATTTAGCCAGTCAGCAGTTCCTAGCTGCCCCAAATGAGACAGAAGCATTTACAGGCCTTCTTGGCGAGCAGCTTTAGATCTGCAATGCACTTGACAACTGTCTCCTTTTCCTGCTGGTCAGAGATGCTCTGTATCACGTGTTTCTCCAACCAGTTTATCATGTGCTCTTGTTCCTTCCGAAGTACCATGTTTTGCGCAGAGAGATGATAGTCCAGGCGATTCTTTACCTCGTATACTCTATGCAGCCATTTCCGGTAAGTAACCTCCAACGCCAGAGCAATATTATTCCTCTGGACATCAAAAAGGTAATGGCGCTTCTGAACCAGTGCCTGCTGTGACTTCTCCAAATCAATGACATCCTGGAGTTGTTTAATGGATGCCTGTTTCACCTCTTCCAGTTGGGCAATTTTTTGCTAATTCAGTTTGTCAGCAAATTCTCCAATAGAAGCACCATATTTTTTAACTATATAGATAAGAAACCCTATTGTTGATATGGCAGTCATGGTCTCTGCAGTAATCACATGTATTTCTTTGGATAGAATATACAAGATAAGCCCAGTTCCAAGCACATAGGGTCCTGTTACACCAGTTTTAGGATAAAGAAACTGGAAGAATTCCTCAGGGATGAGTCCCAAATGAACTTTACCTCCATATTCAGGCAGAGGTGGTACAGGGGCGAGATTTGGCTGCCCAGTGTGAAAGATCCTTGCTGCCTGCAATGCCCCTGGACCAAGGAGGGCTGCGTTCTTCAGAGAAGGGGCGAATGTGGCTGCAGCAGAAAGCACCACCCGAGACAGCATGGTCAACGAGGGTCTAAGCCGCGGTCTTGGCATCCCAGTGACCCTGACAGGTGAATCTCTCAGGGACAGGAGCAAAATGGTTGCTCTCTATTGTCATTTTTAAAATTCGTTCTTTATCTTTTAATTTTCAACACTTGAATTATAATGTGTCTTGCTATGGATCTCTGTATTTATTTTATTTGGAATTCTTTGAGCTTCCAGGATCTGGGTGTCCATTTACTTTCCCACAGTAAGCAAAATTTCAGCCATTATCTTCAAACATGATTTCTGCCCTTTTATTGCTCTCTTTCTGGGACCCTATAATGTGAAAGTTAATCCATGTAATATTGTTCCATATTTTTCTTAAATTGTCTTCATTTTTGTAATTCTTTTTTTTTCTGCTGTTCTATCTGGATGGGTTCCAATGATTTATCTTCCACTTTGCTGATCTGTACTGTTTTTATCCAGTCTGTTGTTGAACCTCTCCAGTGTACTTTTTTTTTTCAGTTCAGCTACCATATTATTTAGCTCTATGACTTCTGTTTGGTTCTTTCTTATATTGTTAACTCTTTGTTGAAGTTCTCACTGTGTTCATTCATTTGAATCTCAAATTCAGTGACTATCTTTATGACCATTACTTTGGATTCTTTATCAGGTAGATTACTCATCTCCATCCTATTAAGCTTTTATCTGAGGTTTTCTCCTCTCTGTCATTTAGCATGTATTTCTCTTTTCTCACTTTCCTTGACCTTCTTTGTCTGTTTCTACATCTTAGGCAAGATAACTACTGCATTTAGTCTAATGAATGGCACTGTGTAGGTGATGAAACTTCTTGTTCACCTTTGTCCTAGTCTTTTTTATCTCTCAAACCTTTGTGGTTGATTAAACAACCTGATTTATTCTTGATAGGTCTCTGTTGTTGAGGATATTCCAAGACCTGTCAGTGTTCCAAGGGAAGAAATAGCATTTAGTACCTAGTTTCAGGCTGATAAGATGCCAGACTTATATCATCTTCTACACTATGGAAATATGTACAGCCCTGTGGGGCTGCAGTTTTAGACTCTGCTTGTATCTAGATTGGGAGATTTGGAGGTGTTCCCTGAATTACAGTTGCAAATATTGGGTCTCCAGAAAAATGAATAAACTTTTCTGGGAGTTCTCAGAGAGCTGTAATGAAGGCAAAGGGCTGTACAAGGACAGTGTCTCCCTGCTTACAGTACCTGGGAGCAACTTGGTAACCTGCAGATGCATGTGAAGCCTGGAGCTTGTGCGTGTTGGCCTGCCAAGAACAGTATATCCAGTTGTTGGAGCTTTGGAATGTGAGGGTCAGGCAAATAGTGGGCATTCCTGGTGCAGTTTGCATTAACTCACTGGCCTTAGCAGTACAGCTGGGGAATATAGGAGGTGTGGCTTACTCCCATGCTTCAGAGGCAGTAGAAAAATGCCTTGACTGCATGTGCCTGAGGGCCTCAGTGATGCTGTAATTAGTTTATTTTTCTTAACTTTTTGTTAATGAATAAAACATAAATCATTAAGTTATTCCACACAGAACACTGAACTAGATGTTTCCTAATATGCTTTGCTTAAAAACAGATATTATTTTTTTAATATACATATTTTTATTAAGGTATTATTGATATACACTCTTATGAAGGTTACACATAAAAAAACAGTGTAGTTACTACTTTCACCCATGTTATTGTGTCCCCCCATACACCATTGCAGTCACTGCTCAACAGTATAGTAAGACGGCACACAGTCACTATTTGCCTTCACTATGCTATACTTCTTCCCCATGACCCCCCTACACCATATGTGCCATTCATAATGCCACTCAATCCCCTTCTCCCTCCCTCCCAATCGGCCTTCCCCCACTCCTCCCCTTTGGAAACCACTAGTCCCTTCTTGGAGTATGCGAGTCTGCTGCTGTTTTGTTCCTTCAGCTTTGCTTCGTTGTTATACTCCACAAATGAGAGAAATCATTTGGTACTTGTCTTTCTCCACCTGGCTTATTTCACTAACCATCCATGTTGTTGCAAATAGTAGGATTTGTCTCTTTCTCATGGCTTTATAGTATTCCACTGTCTATATATATGTACCACCTCTTCTTTATCCAATCATCTACTGATGGACACTTAGGTGACTACCATGTCTTGGCTATTGTAAATGGTGCTGTGATAAACACAGGGGTGCATATGTCTTTTTGAAACTGAAAAATTACATTCTTTGGGTAAATTCCAAGGAGTGGAACACCTGGGTCAAATGGTATTTCTGTTTTTAGTATTTTGAGGAATATCCATAATAATGGCCACAGTGGTTGAACAAGCTTAAAATCACACCAGCAGTGTAGGAGGGTTCCCCTCTCTCTGCATCCTCACCAGCATTTGTTGTTTTTAGCCTTTTCGATACTGACCATCCAAATTGGTGTGAGGTGATATATCACCATGGTTTTGACTTGCATTTCCCCTATAATTAGTGATGTGGAGCATCTTTTCATGTGCTGTTGGCCATCTGAATTTCTTCTTTGGAGAATTGTCTGTTCAGATCCTTTGCCTATTTTCTAATCGGGTTATTTGCTTTTTGGGTATTGAGGTGCATGAGTTCTTTATATATTTTGGATAGTAACCCCTTGTCAGATATGTCATTTACAAATATATTCTCCCATACTATAGGAATCCTTTTTGTTCTGTTGATGGTCCTTTGCTGTACAGAAGCTTTTTAGTTCAATGTAGTCCCATGTGTTCATTTTTGCTTTTGTTTCCCTTTCTCTATGAGATGAATTCAGAAAAAACTTGCTCATGTTTACATTCAGGAGATTTTTGCCTATGTTGTCGATTACGAATTTTATCATTTCATGACTTATATTCAGGTCTTTGATCCATTTTGCATTTACTTTTGTGTATGGGGTTAAACAATTACCCAGTTTCATTCCCCTTCATGTAGCTGTCCTTTTTTGCCAACACCAATTGATGAAGAGGCTGTCATTTCCTCATTGTATGTCCTTGGATACTTTATAATATATTAATTGACCATATATTCTTGGGTTTATATCTGGGCTCTCTAGTCTGTTCCATTAGTCTGTGGGTATGTTCTTGTGCCAGTACCAAATTGTCTTGATTACTGTGGCTTTGCAGTAGAGCTTGAAGTCAGGGAGCATAATCTCCTCAGCTTTATTCTTCCTTCTCAGAATTGCTTTGGCTATTCAGGGTCTTTTGTGGTTCCATATCAATTTTAGCACTATTTGCTCTAGTTCATTGAATAATGCTGTTGGTATTTTGATAGGGATTGCATTGAATCTGTAGATTGCTTTAGGCAGGATAGCCATTTTGACAATATTAGTTCTTCATATCCATGAACATGGCATGTGTTTCCATTTATTGGTATCTTATTTAATTTCTCCCATGAATGTCTTGCAGTTTTCAGAGAATAGGTCTTTCACTTCCTTGGTTAAGTTTATTCCTAGGTGTTTTATTCTTTTTGATGCAATTGTGAATGGAATTATTTTCCTGATTTCTCTTTCTGCTATTTCATCATTAGTATATAGGTATGCAACAGATTTCTGTGCATTAATTTTGTATCCTGAAACTTTGCCAAATTCAAATATTAGATCTACTAATTTTGGAGTGGATTCTTTAGGGTTTGTGTATAATATCATGTCATCTGTAAACAGCAACAGTTTAAATTCTTCTTTACCAATCTGAATGCTTTTTATTGCTTTGTGTTGTCTGATTGCTGTGGCTAGGACCTCCAGAACTGTGTTGAATAAAAGTGGGGAGAGTGGGCATCCTTGTCTTGCTCCCAATATTAAAGGAAAGGCTTTCAGCTTTTTGCTTTTAAGTATGATGTTAGCTGTGGGTTTGTCATATATGGCCTTTATTATGTTGAGGTACTTCAACTCTATACCCATTTTGTTGAGAGTTTTTACAATGAATGGATGTTGAATTTTGTTGAGTGATTTTTTAGCATCTATGGAGATGATCATGTGGTATTTGTCGTTCTTTTTGTTGATGTGGTGGATGATATTGATGGATTTTCTAATATTGTACCATCCTTGCATCCCTGTAATAAGTCCTACTTGGTCATGATGGATGATCTTTTATATTTTTGAATTTGGTTTGTTAATATTTTCTTGAGGATGTTTGCATCTATGTTCATTAGGGATATTGGTCTGTTATTTAGTTTTTTGTGGTGTCTTTGTCTTATTTTGGTATTAGTGTGATACTGGCTTCATACAATGAGTTTGGAAGTATTCCCTCTTTTTCTACTTTTTGTAAAACTTTAGGGAGGATGAGTCTTAGGTCTTCAGTAAATGTTTGATAAAGTTTATCAGTGAAGTCATCTGGTAGAGGGTTTTTCTCTCAGACAGTTTTTTGATTACCAATTCAATCACTGCTAGTAATTGGTCTGTTCACATTTTCTGTTTCTTTCTGGGTCAGCCTTGGAAGATTCTATTTTTCTGAAAGTTGTCCATTTCTTCCAGATTATACAGCTTGTTAGCAGATAACTTTTCATAGTATTCTCTAATAATTTGTATTTCTGTGTTGTCCGTAGTGATTTTTCTTTTCTCATTTCTGATTCTGTTTATGTGTGTAGACTCTCTTTTTTTTCTTGACAAGTCTGGCTAAGGGTTTATCTATTCTTTTTTATTTTCTCAAAGAAACAACTCCTGCTTTCATTGATTCTTTCTATTGCTTTATTCTTCTCAGTTTTATTTATTTCTGCTCTAATCTTCATTATGTCCCTTCTTCTAATGACTTTGGGCCTCATTTGCTCTTCTTTTTCTAGTTTCATTAACTGTGAGTTTAGAATGCTTGTATGAGATTGTTCTTCTTTCCTAAGGTAGGCCTGTATTGTAATATACTTCCCTCTTAGCACTGCCTTGGCTGTGTCCCACAGATTTTGCAGTGTTGAATTATTGTTGTTATTTGTCTCCATATATTGCTTGATCTCTGTTTTTATTTGGTCATTGATCCATTGGTTATTTAGGAGCATGTTGTGAAGCCTCCATGTGTTTGTGGGATTTTTCATTTTCTTTGAGTAATTTATTTCTAATTTTGTAGCTTTGTTATCT